CACCAGGTTGAGACTTTTATCAACATGGCGAGTAACTGTTTTTATTTTAACTACACTTTAGTGTATTTGTAATCTGCTGGAAGAATGGTAATAGACGAAATTTGTTGGTATGTATATTGATACATTGTAAGGTCCACCAAGTTGAGACTTTTATCAACATGGCGAGTAAATATCTCTATTTAAACTCCACTTCAGTACAATTCTAATCTGCTAAAAGAATGGTAATAGACGAATTGTGTTTGTATATATGTATATTGATGCTTTGTAATGTCCATCAGGTTGAGACTATTATCAACATGGCGAGTAAATGTCCTTATTCAAACTTCACCTCAGTACACTTCTAATCTGCTACAAGAATGGTAATAGACGAAATTTGTTTTTATATAGATGGATACATTGTAATGTCCATCAGGTTGAGACTTACATTATTTATTTACATCCATTGCAAAGCAAGGAAGTAACACATTTCGAGCATACATTTATTTACGAACACATACGAGTGTATTTAAGAGAGTAATTGAATTTTATTTATTAGGCTGTATTATTTTATTATATAGGCGTTTATTACTATTCGATTCTGATAAATTATCTTCATTTTGCTATGCCGTTGTCATTATCTTGGCAGATGTTACTTATAATTAGTTGGTGCTTTTATGCATTTATAATATAAACAAATATAATAAATGCATACAATATATAAGCATAAGATATGCGCATTTATGCAGAACGAAATAACAATATCATTATAATAATCATAGAATATATTCAAGAGAACATATTCAAGTCTCAACCTGATGGTCATTAGTATGTATTCCATACACAAAGCTCATTAGTAAAAAAACTTCACTCATTGTTATTTGTATTAACCTTCCAAGTGAAGTGGTATAACTTGACTACATACCTAATATGACAGTGTTACATTTGTTTGTTCATCACATTCATTTCATTCTTATTTTACATTATTTCGCTTGCATACCTCCCTCTATAATTCTCTGGCTTCCCAATCAGTGATGTCACTAACCTAATCCACTCTTAAACGAAGAAATGAAAAGATACTTTCCCCGAAATGTATATTATTTTATTATAAGAAAAATTAATTGAAGATGAGACATTGCTATACATTTAATTATTTACAAGTTGGTTAAATCAAATTTTGTATTTTTGTCGATTTACATCACACAATCGTCGTGCATGCATTACAAGTTAGGTATATTCCAATATCTATATACTCGTATCCTATGTACACTCAGTACATTGCATATAGTACAAACATATATGACGCAGAAGTTTTCAGTATCTAAAATTTTTTAACGAAACAGAAATAAAACAGAAGAAAGATACTTTTTACAAACTAATTAAAATGTATTTCTAAGCATTAGAGTAATAATAATAGAAAGAAGTGAAATATAATTGTATATTGAATATTAGTACTTCTTAACTTTTTTATTTAGGTTTTTATTCAAAGAAATTATTAAAAATATAAGTTGAATTTGAAGTATAATAGCTTTCGCAAGCGTTATGTCTAATTATTTATTTACTCCTTGAAAACTTATGATGTATACAAAGTTATTTTAATACTCTATTTTAACACTGTGCATACTTGTAAATTTTCATATTTTTCTATTATTTTTTAAATTTTCTTATTTCTTTTATGACCATCGATATGAGATCGAATAAAAAGATCCAGCCGAAATATACGCATACATATTTAATTGATTCATTTATCACAAAATTCACCCTACAAGTAGAAACTTACATTTGCAAACCCTTCCAAAGACAAATCTATAAATTTTCCAGCAGAGATTGTTAATTGCTTTTGCGACCTTAACATTAGAAGCAATATAACACGAGTGTCGTTTGGCTTTAAAAAGTACCAAACTGAGTTATACGCTGCACTGTTAATGGATGTACTCTGAAATTAAATTAAAGACACGTTTATAATATTAATAACAGCATCATGTATTAATACAGCCTAGGCCAAGCAAGTGTAACAAGTAATAACTTCGTTATTAGTACATTTAGAGAAAAATAGCAAAGGGAAAAGATGAATGGTTCAAAGTGTACTGCATTTCTAGGACGATATTTTTTTACACAAGGTAAATTTTTATAAGCAGCTTTATACTCTATTAAGGGGGCATTTCACTGCGAACGCACAAAAAGAAACATATTTTCAATCATTTTTTTCCCAGGAACTATTGCATAAAATTCAATGAATGTTTTTTCCCCTTAAAGGTATGATTAAGGAAAGTAAATAAAAAATTTTCTTTTTGGTAAAAAATATTTCGTCATTTTTTTACAGAATCATATGCATGTGTGCAAAAAAAAAAAGTTATCCGTTGGCGCAGGTGATTTTGGCTCTCCTGGTGATCTGAAACAGAAAACCGAAAAAGTTTATTAAACCATGTCGTCACACCTATCGTGTCGGAACCTCCACTTATTTATTTCATTGAAAATAAACAAAATGGCAGCGTTTTTTGTGAAAGAGAGAAAAAGAAGCACTTTTTATACCGTAAATCAGGTGAAATTGTAAATAAAAATCAAAATATCAACTACTTGGAGGTTCCGACGATAGGTGTGACGACATAGTTTAATAAACTTTTTCGATTTTCTGTTTCAGATTACCAGGAGAGCCAAAATCACCTGCGCCAACGGATAACTTTTTTTTTGCAGACATGCATATGATTCTGTAAATAAATGACGAAATATTTTTTACCAAAAAGAAAATTTTTTATTTATTTTCCTTAATCATACCTTTAAGGGGAAAAAACATTCATTGAATTTTATGCAATAGTTCCTGGGAAAAAAATGATTGAAAATATGTTTCTTTTTGTCCGTTCACAGTGAAATGCCCCCTTAAGATAAGTTTTCATATAAGAAGTGTGTGAAGGGAGTGTTTCATACTAGGCCTGTTAGCAGACTCGTCAGTAAGGCTACCTAGCAGGCCCGTGCTTTACAATTAAGACGCCGGGATGTTTGAAGGTCGGTTGAAAATGGTTTATACAGGGTATTCCAGAATAAGTGTTAGAACCGGAAACCAAGGGTAGCTGAGACGATTCTGAACAAGAATTTCCTTTTGCAAAATGTCGGATGATGCTTCGTTTTTGAATTATTAACGAAAAAGTATGGACCAATCAAAGCGTCCGAATATCGCGCGCTCAGCCGCGAGAAGCTGGCTCGAGGCAGCCATTTGGGAGAGGCAGCCACTCGTGGCTGAGCGCGCGCTACTCGGGCGCTGCGATTGGTCCGTAGTTTTTCGTTAATAATTCAAAAACGAAGCACCACCCGACATTTTTGCAAAGGAAATTGTTGTTCAGAATCGTCTCAGCTACCTCCTATTTGCGGTTCTTACTAATTCTAATCTAATTCTGGAACACCCTGTATACGACAGTTAGATGGACCGAGCACTTGTGAGAACCGCAAAGACTCCAGCCGACATTTTTGCAAAGAAAATTGTTGTTTAGAATCGTCTCAGCTACCTCCTATTTGCGGTTCTTACTAATTCTAATCTAATTCTGGAACACCCTGTATACGACAGTTAAATGGACCGAGCACTTGTGAGAAACGCGAAGACTCCACCCGACATTTTTGCAAAGATAATTGTTCAGAATCGTCTCAGCTACCTCCTATTTGCGGTTCTTACTAATTCTAATCTAATTCTGGAATACCCTGTATACGACAGTTAGATGGACCGAGCACGTGTGGAAAATGCGAGGTCTCACTCTAGTGCCGAGTTCAGGAGGTGCCACCACAAGTGCATGTGCAATCGATAATGGTATTACTTTTTTAAATAGAAATGCATGTTGTTGTTTTATAAAGCATTAGGGTGAAGTGGTAAAAAAATGATTAGTGCACCATATATTTTAAACAATTGTCTGTAAGGAAAAGTATGCTAAAAATATTCTAAAGATACTTGATACTATATTAGGTTGTCCCAAAAGTTTCTTCCGTGACTTGCGCTCAATTATTTTGTGTGGCAGTATTTATATAAATAAACAACCTAATTTCTTAGATGTTAATATTGTATAACAGTAATGGAGCAAAATGAATCGTACGCAATTTAATAATGTAACATTAGACATAAAATATTTTAAATGTATCACTTATTAATGAAATGGAAGAAACTTTTGGGACAACCTAATAATTTCTCACAGCTACTACCAACCTTGGTGCTGAGATACTCTCCAGCGAAACAAAAAATAAACGCTTCCAGTGTGATGGCGATATAAAAAAACGATATTTTCGTCAGTGTTGCGACGTTTTTGTCCGAGTGCAGCGACTGTGGCGAGAAAACGAAATTAGAAAAGTAGCGATATCATTTTTTAAAATAATATACACTGAAGTCTCAATTGTACCCTTTTAAATATTTTAGTTGTTTTTATTGTACTAATTAACTCAAATTAATATAAAAAGATGGTGTTTGTAGTAGTTCATACACGTCCTTTCAATTTGTACTAATTACAGAAGTGTCCACCAACTCAAAGCAAGAAAAATAATTTTTATTTCACATAATAAAAATATAGTTTTGACGCCGTCATCAATACTAGAATTATAATTACTTATTAGTATTTAACTATATTTTTAGACAGTCAAAGTTCGAAAGAAAGCTCAAAAAAATTCAAACGCCTGCCATTTTGTTTTATGTTTATTTTTATTTTTAGATGTCATTCGATGTGAATTGTGTCAGTTATGGGGAAAAGGACAAATTTCACGGTGATTATATCAATGGAAGAAATTATTAAAAATAAACAAACAAAATTATATTTATTATTGTCTAAATAATATTTATAATATTATACACATTAATATATAAATAATATAATAGTAGCTGTTATATAGAATAATAATAGTGAAGTAGATCTTCGTTTTTTATTGTGTATAAAAACATTGACATTCCACAATTATTTATTATGCGATAGAAAAATTCGTAAAGAAAATTTTTTTTACTCGCGAGTGTACCATAGGAATTCTTCAAGTTGAGATTAGGCTATCCCCACCACTTCGTGAAATTGCTCTCTAACGCGCTACAGATGTTATACATATAGTGAAATAATAGATCTATACTAATGTAAAATAATATTTATATTATTATACATATTAATATATAAATAATATAATAATAGCTGTTATATAGAATAATAATTGTGAAATAGATCTCCATTTTTCAATTGCTCACATTAAAGTTTATAGGATGAAATATTCACATTGTATTGGCTATGGTAAATTAAACATAAATAATAAATGTATTCATTTTGTTTCATAAATATCGTAACAAATCTATAGTTAAAAAATGATAAATTTCTAAACATGAATAATGTAATAAATATAATTAACGTAGTACTTACAACCATTATTAAAAAGCCAATACAACAAATACTGAGGGTATTGCATAACAATTGCATCAGAGCAATGTAAGAAAAAAGATTTTCTATATCCTTTGTAAAAATAATAATTTTATTATGTCTATCGAATAATTGCTTGATGACACATTTTGGCAGTCCATGTTTTGCTTGTTTTGGAGAGATATCTGCCAGAGCTAGATGCACTAGTTCTATCTGGCCTCCAACATGTAATACCTAATAACCATCCATTAGGAAATATGTAAATATGCTGTAGCTAATGCCATCTAATTAATTTTACTGATTTCTTTTAAATTTGCTTGTATAAAAATATCGTAATGATATTATCGTTTAACTTATTGGTTCGTGTACAATTTGTATTGTATGTACAAAAATGACCATCGAGTTAAGACAAATGTCATTTATCACGTTGAGACTAACACTTTCCAGTATGATAATCATAAACTCATACGGTCATGATAATCATGATAATCAATTTATAATAATCATAAACTCATACACACTCATGGATTCAGAATAAAAAAAACGCTTTTACTGATTCAGAAATAAATAAAAATTTTCAAAAATTGCGGGGAGAAGGGAAGTCATTTTTGAAAACAAAATTTTCTTGAAAATTTGTTGATACTGGTTTATAGGCCTCTAAAAACAGTGCAATTTTTACTTGAACAGTTTTTTGATATCTCTTATGATTCCCGAGTTATACGCGCAAAAGTAAAAAGGGGGGCTCGGACAAAAGGAGTAGTTTCTCCCTTGAAACTCAAAAGTGGCACGAACTGAAGATGGTGCACTTCACTGGAAGGTCCCACAAACAAGTGTACCAAGTTTCATCAAAATCGGAGTGTACTACTCACCGGTGTTTTCTTGTTAGTCTCAACTTGATGGATAGTTGGAAAAATCGGTTTTCCATTTTTCCAACTACGGCGCACCACTCCTAAAAATATGAAAAAAATTGAGGACAATAATAACAATAATATATACTTCCTGTAATTTTATAATCGTAGTTCTGAGATTCCTTCGATGCAAAACCGGGATTTTTCATCATCTTTTTGTGTTTTTTTATTTTTCACAGTTTGGATTTTGAACTGAAAAATCTGAAAAAATTCTGGAACATGTGCCTCGCTAACTGAAATATCGCTGATTTTTTTCAAAAATTTTTATGCGGCAGGACAAGAGAAATTGGTCAAACACGTGATTTTCGTTTTTTTTTTGTTTACTCCCCCACCCGTCGAGATACGGACTTGAAATTTGGCACAGATTATTCTTTTTTGAGAACCTATCGAATACATTCTCACAAATCGAAATGGGTCTGACGGCACTTTTAAATAATTAGTCTTGTGACTCCCAAACCCGGCTATACCCTTTGTCTTAACTCGATAGACATTCCTGTACATTCAGTCCAAATTGTACACGAACGAATAAGTTAAACAATAATACAATTACGATATCTTTACACAAGCAAAGTGTGTGTAACACTGTACACCATTTCAAATTATTTAATATATTTGTAAATGATTAAAATATATTAATATATCAATATTAATATTAAAATTATCATATTAATAATTAATAATGATATTAATAATTTTAATACGGGGCGGGACTTGAACCCGTGATCCAGGGACTACGGAGCTTGAACGCTAAACGCTAGACTGCCGTCGCTTCATTTAATAATTTTAATATATTAATATATTAATATTAAAATTATTTAATATATACATATAAATATAAAAAAGTAGTTATCAAAATAAGACACTTACTAAGGTTATTAAGAAAGCATCCAACATGCTAATGCCACAGGCAGTGACTAATAATTGCAAAAACTGTACGAGCAACACGTATTCGTACGTCGGCCTGCTATAACTTGCAAATGGATATTCCATTTTCATTAACAATTCACGAGAATTCGTATCGGAATCGTGATCGTCGACCTTAAGGAAGAATTGGACGACCACGCTGCTATAAAGAAAAACCGCAAGGACGTAGACACCCATAATTAGTTGCGAGCAACGATTCGACAAATTAGCTTTTTTTATCATCACTTCGCTGTTTAGTTTTCCAGTGGAAGAATTAGTCCAATCCATGGCCATCGCTGTTAAAATATTCTTAAAAGTTCTGCAAAATTTTATTGCAAAATTTTTATTATTATTTTATTTTATTATTCCTCGAGTAGAACATTCTTTTGCATTAGAATATCTTTAGCTAATACAATTTCTACATTCTTTTCTATTCGAACGCGGTCGGGACCGCCAAGTTGCTTATTTCGAGGGAGGTAAATGTGCTATTTGGCTTGACTTTGTTCTCGAGCGAGTCGAGAGGGAACCCGTCGATAAAACAGGGAGTTCGGTGTACCGGCAAACTATAAAGTGATCGGTCGAGCACGGTTATTCTTTGGAGAAGGATAGAACACATGTTTTCTCATTTTAGCACTAGTAAAAACGAATTCTTTTCGGACCTCTCGCTTGGCGGGCGATTTCAAACAAAAGGGTAGGGGTAGCGAGTTGCTTATTTCCTGAGGAATCCACGAGTTGAGAAGTTATGAGCAGTTAAAAGTGGCATTTTACCGTATTTGCTGACACTTTCGATGCCATATTGTCTTGTAGCCACACCCTGTCGGTAAAACAGATTCTCGGTGGTGGCGGTCTACATTATGTACTACTTTTGAATTGCCTGACAAATACGGTAAAAAGGTTCACCTTTAACTGCTCATAACTTCTGAACCAGTGGATTCCTCGCCTGAGAACTAGCATTTTTGGATTCCACTCGCCGAAATCTACAGGCTTATGGAAAAAAAAACTTGAAAATTTTAGGTTCGTCAAAGTAAAGTATATTGAAAATGTAAGATAGAAATTAAATTCTATTAACTTAATATTATAATTAATTCCGTACCCCCATAAATAAAAATTAAATAAATTAATGACATTGATAAAAACTTTTTCCAACACATAATCTTTGCTTATTTCGAGGCAATACTGTATTTCTAAATCTGCAAAATGTAGCTTACCCACGTTTGATCCAAAAGGTGACCAGTTTGAAGCAAAACAAACTATAGGGCAACGCAGTACTGACACATTCCACCACTTTCGTAAAATTGTTATAATTGAGATGCTTTATTATGTACCAATATTGAGATATTTGCGCAGTAGCCATTACTACCACCCAAAGAAAACGAAATATATTTTGATGAGACGATGGCCAGATTCCAGTCAATCGAAGACCAATCTCTACTGGGTGACTGATGCTGTAGATAGATATCATTCTAGATGAAATTAACATTTGCTTCGTTTAGAAACTATTTACGAGATTTAATCGAGCAATTCGTAACTTAACACTTTACCGACCGGTAGTTGATAAATCGACTTTTTGTCCCCAACGCTCACCGACCGGTAACTGATATGGTAACTAGCAAGTATTTGTTACTTTACCATATAATACAACACTTTACCGACCGGTAGCGGTTCAAGATCCTATACTCTTCTCACCGGCCGCTCGACAGCAGATTTTCCATGGCACCGGGAATTGTATAAAAATATGGGAGCTTACAGAGCAAAGGAACTTGTCTCTCAATTCAAAGTAACAAATACTTGCTAGTTACCATACCAAGCGATTAAACAGTTACCGGCCGGTAAGCGTTGGGGACAAAAAGCCGATTAATCGGCTACCGGTCGGTAAGCATGAGTACAGAAAGCCGATCAATCGACTACCGGTCGGTAAAGTGTTAACATTCACAGTATTCCATTTAATCATTTTTAACACTTTACCGATCGGTAGCGGTTCAACATTCTATGCCCTTCTCACCGGCCGCTCGACAGCAGATCTTCCCTGGCACCGGGAATTGTATAAAAATACGAGAGCTTACAGACCAAACCAACTTGTATTTCAATTCAAAGTAACAAATACTTGCTAGTTACCATAGCAGTTACCGGTCGGTAAAGTGTTAACATTCACAGTATTCCATTTAATCATTTTTAACACTTTACCAACCGGTAGCGGTTCAACATCCTTTGTCCTTCTACCACTCGGCAGCAGATCTTCTCTGGCGCCAGGAATTGTATAAAAATACGAGAGCTTACAGACCAAACCAACGTGCTAGTTACCATAGCAGTTACCGGTCGGCGAGCGTTGGGGACAAAGAGTCGATTAATCGACTAACGGTTGGTAAAGTGTTAACCTTGGAAATTAAACCGAACAATCTACTACCTCGAACACTTACTATCTCTCCAAGTGAAGTTAGGGTACTGAAGATATGTTCGGACTAGAGCGGATACCGTTTCTCGATTATAGACTACATGCGTATGCAATATTCATAAAGGGAACACGAAAACCAAAGTTGCATGTAACATGCATAAATATATGATTAAAAGAATGGCGAAAGTTTTGCAACTTTTTCTACTTTTATATTCAAACTTGAAGAATTTTCTGACTGTGCACTCTCAGGAACATGGAATATTAAACAGGCGCGCAGCAGAAGAATTGGTAATAGAAACTATTTTACCAGCCGATGGTAAGAGAGAATTCGACAGAAATTTGGAAATAGTATGGAACGCAGAATTTTTACTGGACAGACGTATCGATAGAGTGTGTTAAGATATAAATTGTTAACATATAAATGCTTGTAACTACTAAACAAATTGATATTTAAAGAATTAATTTTTCGATATTCTTGTGTGTTACCTATTTTAGTTTGTTGTACACAAATATGTAAAATAATAACAAAAATGTGTTTCTCGAACGTTTTATGCATCATTAAAAAATGTTTTTATTTACGGAGTCTCAACCTGGTGGACACAACAGTGCTTTTCATGAGAAAGATAGTATTTCAGAAGGAAAAGTTTGGAATAATATTCTCATCATATCTGTGGGTTGAATTTACCGATAAAATTGTGCTTACATGTTTTTATATACCGGGGATCATCCTAATGGACATTTCTGCGCTTTCATAAAATAAAAGTATTTTATAGGGAAAAATATTGAATTACATTCTCATCATTTTTGTGAATCGAATTTAATGATGAAACTGTGTCTCGATGTTTTTATACACCGAGTGTCAATCTAGTGGACGTTTCTGCGCTTTCAGAAGGAAGAAAGTATGTATTTCAAAAAAATTGTGATCAATTTAATGAAATTGGTACGTAAGATAATAACAAGAATGTGTTTCTGGAACGTTTTATTCGATAACAAAAGTCATTTTATTGTCGTTTCTTTGGAGAAGTCATTGTTTGCAATTCGATCGATAAAGTTGAAGACTTGGATAATATTAACTTGTTATGTTAACCAATTTTTTATGTTAACAAATAAAGAAGTGGATGGAAATGACGATGAGTAAGAAAATGGAGGAAACAGCAAGTGTAGAAAGAAAAATAATATTAAGCTTACATAACGCGAAAAAATTATATAATGAATTTGGAGAAATCGCTAAGAGAAGTTGTATCGCTGTTGGTAAATTTGTAAAATGATTTAAAAATGAAATAAGTGTTGAAACTTTAAATAGAAGTGATTGTCCTCTCAAACTAGCAATTCAAGAGAAGCTCAAAATTGTAAATATAGTTTTAAAAAATCCAGAAACTAAATTCTATTTTATGATTAATTTATTCTGATTTATATTTAAATTCCTGTTAGTAATTATGAAAATAAATGATACGTTAGTTTAATTTAACGAACTCGTACAAAAGACCTCAATTTTACGAATGGGTCTTATACTTTTGTACACCTAGAATAGATAGCAACTCTGTTTCTGACAATAGAAACGACAATCGAGTATAATATTAAATTTTTCTCATGTTTACTTCGTTTTATACATACATATATGAATATATATGATATGTACTTTTATTAATTTATTAATATATATGAATTATTACATTATATTATATTATATTAATATATATGATAATATGAGTATAATATTAAATTTTTCTCATGTATACTTCCTTTCATACATACATGTATGAATATATATGACATGTACTTTTAAACCTTTTCGCATTAAATATAATTGTTTATGTGAGCCACGAATCCTATAAAATAAAAACAATATTTCACGAAGGAAATAAGTATTAAAACTATAATTAATTTAACTTTCCAAGTAGCTCGACAGAAGATCATTCTTTCAAGACAATAATAAATATTAATAATCAGAGTAATTATACACAACCCGAAATCTACTCGCTTCCTTACATATTTCGTTCAGTTTTCGAGAAAATGAAAACATCAAAATTCTTTGAATTGTTGTATTATCCTCTGCTAGTTGAATTAATAACATTTTTTTACAAACGCCAAATTGTCAATTTCTTCTCTAATCTTCTATTTCGACAAAATGTTCTTCGCGTTTCGATTTCTTTTACTAAATATTTACAAAATCCTTCGGCCTCAGTATACCGCAAGCAAAAGCGACACGTACGAAGCAGAAGCTTTCAACATCTAAAAAATGACAATTGTATTTTAATAGCTAATTCAATACTTATTTAGAAGATTTATAATAATTATAAATCGTTGAATTATTTATCACTTGGACGACCTGATATGTTTATTATTAATGAAAGTATTGCGAAGATATAGTGAAGAATATCAAGAAAATATGGATGTTCATTGCTAGATTACTATACAGCGATAAGCGTCATGCGTGAGACGTTACAAACTTCATGATTAGGTATTTTAAGTAAGTAGGGATAAATTGGTTAGCTGTTACTCCACACCAGGGATGGGTAATTGGTGAGAAATAATGCTCGTTGTAGTTCGTGAGCTCTTTTACATTTGTTTGTTTACTTTCTTAGACCCAAATCAATCAACTATGACTCTACAACAAGAATGAACAACTGGTGAGCAAGAATGATTCTACAAAAAGGATGGACAACTGGTGAGCAAGAATGATTTTACAACAAGGATGGTCAACTGGTGAGCAAGAATGCTCGTTCTAGCTCATGAGCGATTTTATATTTGTTTGTTTACTTTCTTAGACCCAAATCAGTCAACTATGACTCTACAACAAGGATGGACAACTGGTGAGCAAGAATGATTTTACAACAAGCATGGTCAACTGGTGAGCAAGAATGGTCGTTCTAGCTCATGAGTTATTTTATGTCTGCTTGTTTACTTTCTTAGGGTCAAATTAACTAGCTATGAGTAGACTGCTGATCTTTATGCAAAATAAAATCTTTGTAGACGTATCTACAAAAATGAAACACAAATAGAAATTTATTTTACTCTGCAAATATTATAATATTAACTTTGCTTTCAATGTTTATTATATTTTTGCATATTGTGTGCATTTCGTAATTTCTTGAACATCTGAATTCATACAAATACCTATAAATACATAAATATCTGCAGTCTAAGTATGACTCCACAACAAGGATGAGCAACTGGATGAGCAATTGTGCTCGTTCTAGCTCACCAGCTCTTTTATATTTGTTTATTTACTTTCCTAAATCCAAATTAGTCACCTATTACTCTATAGCAATCATTGATAACTGGCAACTAAGTGCGTTCCTTTTAACTCACGTGCCAGTAAAGCTTGTACCAATTAAAGCTGGTTTATGGACCAAAATTCAAGAAGAGTGGAGAAATATCTCTCAAGATAGAATCATCAAACTTATTAAATCGATGCCTCACCGATGTGCCGCCGTGATAGCTTCACGGGGTATGGCTACTAAATATTGACGATAATGTTACATTTGTAACCATTTTTGAACATTTTTCCTTCAGTTATCGTGTTTTTTCTTCATGTTTTGTATTTGCCCGGATACTTATGGAGAAGTAAAAATTGTTATTTTTGTTATAAATAATTATTACTTGTTGTATCAAATTTTTGAGTTGTACATTTCGATAGTGTAATAAAAGCTCTTTACTATGATATATTTGTATTTCTACTTTACACCTATTATACATAATTTAATTCTAAAATTATTTTTGGTCGGAAACTTGCATGCAACTGTACATGTCGAATTGAGTAACCTTCTCCTTTTCGAAGTCGGTTAAAAAAGCTTTGGTGGCTGAGACTCTCAACTTGAGAGTAGACATACGACCGCAAAGGGATAAACAGTGTAACCTTTGAGTTCATTATAAAGTCACTTTCCTAGTATAAACGCGACCTTATCGTTACATATTTGTTTACTTTCTTACATTGGCAAACGCTTGGAGCGAAAGCGTCGTAAATTGAGCAGCAGTGAGCTTCAATTGCTTCTGCGACCTCATTATTACTAATAATATAATACGAGCTTCCCTAGGATTCAATTCGTACCAGAGGGAATCGTAAACAACCTCTGTAATATCGTCACTCTGAAAACGAACGTCACACGAGGAATATGAAAGGACGCAATATCCCTTTTTTTCTTTTTTTATTGTTCGTGGTTCATTGAGGTCTTACCTTTTCAGAAAGATATTGCCCAGTGTAACAAAGAATGAATGCTTCGCAATTTACAGCGACGTAATAAGGAAAGCACTTCATTATTACTACAGATCCTTGCTCCATGTTCGAAGACTGTAACAAAAGAAAATATCAATAAACTCGAATATTTGGTCAACAAAGTCAATATTTGTTTAAAAACCAGCGTAATTAAATTACGTTTACTCACGACCGCAAAGAGAAAGCTTATAAAACCGATCACCATCATGTTCGACAAAAATTGACCCAACGATATGTACTTGAACATATTTTGAATATTCTCGGACAACGTTATGATTCTCTGATGTCTGGAAACGAGATCTTTGAATATCAAGACTCGAGACTCATCCTTTTCGGAATAAATGGTAGCTTCCGTCAATGTTTGGCAAAATATTTCAACTTGGCTACCGACATGTAATATCTAAAATAATCCACGCAATATCTAACGGTGGCAGTCTAAAACGTTGTAAATATATTTTTAAATAGTATATGAAGTAGAATTTTTACAGATATTGTGTGTATTAGGTGTACAAATAAGATCGGTGCCTTTACATATACAGGGTGTCCCAAAAATGTTGCAACACCTTGAAAGGGGTGGTTCGGGGGGTGATTTGAAACAACTTTTTCCTTAGCGAAAATGTTGTCCGAGGCTTCGTTAAGAAGTTATTAACAGAAAACACTGACCAATCAGAGCGCGAGTATACCGTTGGAGCGGTCGCGGTAGCGAAGGCTACGAGCTAACCGGCCGCTCTCGTACGCGAACAAGTGACTCGACGTGCATCGAAGGACATTGACGCGGCCGCATAGCGCGTAGCCTTCGCTACCGCGCCCGCTCCAACGGTATACACGTGCTCTGATTGGTCAGTGTTTTCTGTTAATATCTTCTTAACGAAGCCTCGGACAACATTTTCGCTAAGGAAAAAGTTGTTTCAAATCACCTCCTGAACCACCCCTTTCAACGACTTCCAACATTTTTGGGACACCCTGTATAATACTCACAAGGGACGGTCAGGGTCATGCTCTCGCTTTTGGAACTACACCATATAGAAGTTGTAGTCCCGACACATATAGTATAACAAAACCCTAATGGGTTTTTTCAGAATGGACCCTGGTTTTCGAGATATTTCGATTTAAAGTTTGATACGTACCTAATAATAAACTTCTGTGAAATCATAACTCAAGAGTGATCGGTGGGTGAAGTGATTGAGGAGAAGCTTATGACGCCTAACGGCCGGGGTTCGAATCTTCGTCGTTGTGATATATTTTTTTTCGTCTTTTTCCATTGTTTATTATTAATTTTATTTATTAATTTTTAATCGTAGAATAACATTTCTGATACTTTATTTAGTTTTTGTTATATATATGTCGCATATTTTTTTGCGCGCATTATTCTGAAACGTGTATTTATAACATAATATATTCTGTTCTTTATCGACGAATCTAAAAAATGTGCGATATATATACAAAAAAAATTCATAAAGTACCAGAAATGTTATTCTACGATTAAAAATTAATAAACAATGGAAAAAGACGAAAAAAAAATTTACTACGACTAAATTTATCCGAAATAACTTTTACCATCGATAACTTCCTAACGAACAAGTTTAGGGCATAAGTATGTTAGTACTTTTTTGTAGAGCACAAGAAACTGCATCGATCTGTGTCGTCAGAAATATAGATTTCCATTTTAAAAAAAAAGTGCAGTTGCATTTTTTGGATGCACCGATGCACAAAAGTGCATAAAATTAGTTGCATCTTATGCGCCATCCAAAACCATTTAACTTTTATTTATAACATTTGATTCTATTTCCAACCGTTTAGGAGGTACAGCTTGTTCAAGTTGCGTGGGACACCCTGTATATTGAACGTGATAAAAATACATGAATATGGAAAAATTAAAGTACACAAGTAAAAAATGTATACTATTCTATCTAAAAACATTGCATTTTTCAGTTAAATTAATTTTTCTGAAAAAAAAGTAGTCGCAAAGAAGTGAACATTCCACATAAAACGGTCCTGTAAAGTTCTTCAAAATTATAATACTTTGTCTCTCGAAAGCGTAATTAATAAAGGAATACATACTTACTAGTGTTGCAATCAATGCCATGAACATTGCTGCTGCGAGGGTCAAAACACCTTCTAACACAAACTGTAGAACCAAAATAAGACTATAAAGTAAAGAAGTCGTTACGTCAAAAGGAAACACCATTTTGATAAAGAATTTCCTCGTTTGGGTACCATCGTTATCCTCCCTTAATAGGGCCACAGTAATCCCTGTGTACAAAATAAAAGACACAAAAAAGTACGTAAACAAAACATTGGTAATGCGAGAAGATAAATTGGCCTTATTTATCATTATCTGTTTCTTCTCCCCCAATGAAGGACAATTCCAGTCCTCGAACATGGACGTCAGGATATCGCAAAATGTTCTACGCAAAATAATTTTCGATTATTATTTCATGAAATAATATTTTCTTGTTTATCGTATAATTGTCGATATATCTAAAACTTTGATAAAAAAAAAAATTAAATGAAACATTTACTTTTCATATCAACAAATAATGGCCAAACAACATTGTTTACGAAAACCATATTTTTTCTTTCATCTCCTACTATTTCTTTTTTCAATTTTCTACTTTTCGATTGTGGAATTGTATGAATAATGAACAAGAAATTCTTAATTTTATTTGTTTAAGAGGAAAACTGGACGTGTCATATACGTGGCTTTCCATCTTCAACTTTCTGTTGAAAAAAAATTATTTACTGTTAATAAATATTGAATAAAAGACCCCGTAAGTCTCATAAAGATCCTCTTGACATTTTACCAAATGATGGTCGAATGTACTACAGACGTGTTACCGATAACAAAATATTTAATAAAGAATTGGTTGCCATAAAAGCCGATTTGTAAGAAAAATACGACTATTAGACTGCCAATCGGTAAGCATCGACAACAAGAATCAACATTTATCAACCGATAACCTACCAACATTTTACCAACCGATAGCGTTTGAATATATACTTAAATTTAATAATATTTATTTTCATATCATTAGTACTTTACAATGTTTATTCCATCTATTAGAATTGTTTTTAGATTAATATTTATGCTATCTGAGTGATAAATAAAAAAGTATTGCTTATCATGGTAAAAAAACAATTAATTTGACTACCTGTCGGTAAAATATTACTAAGTCCATTTAGGAGTCGATAAAGTATTAATATAGTGTTTTTAAAACGTTGGTCAAACAAATGCCTAATTTTTAGCTCCTCAAACTGTACTGCACACTAAATTAAATTAACTTAGTTAATTAAATTAATTGAGTTTACTCATGATTAGTTATGAATAATTAGAATTTTCACTATGTAATTTGGTAAAACAAATGCCTAATTTTCATCATACTAAACTGTATTCCTTCCTTAATTAAGTTGACTAAGTTAATTGAGTTAATACACGCAGGGTTACTGCTAAATCTTACCGATTATGAAACCAGATAACGATCAGCTTCAATAGAACAAGACTGTTTGATAAAGTAAGGCTTAATCCGTCTAACAAGTCGGTCAGATCAGTGGATTTAAGATGACTGATAAAATACCAATACTGGAACACTAAAAACGTGAACAACAACAATGTCCAAACGATGCTCTTCAAAACTCGATGAGGAGAACTCGGCCAGATACCGAATAAACGGAGAATGAACTCTAGAGGATAGTTGATTGTACTTTGCAAAGCCATTGGTATCAATACTTCTTTGATGATGGTAACGATTTATCGATGATGCATCAATGATGCATTAATGTACCAAAGGTACCAGTAATTTTGCCAGTAATCAACCAAATACTTTTTGAACATTAAATACTATTACAAAAGAGTGTAGAAAGAAAGTGAAACTATAATATTTGGATGAGAAATAGAAAACCTAAATAAGATATGAAGGTTCTTCTCGAGTTATCAGAGTGCAACTGAGTTGTCTATAGCAGCAGCCATCATTGCATGTCGAACAGGTCTTTCTGAATATTGCAGTTGTAAGTTTACACAGTCTCTTGCATACTGAAGTTTTTTTTTTAAACTGTTTATCGATCGAATGGAGCCACGGGACTATTATTGCATAAATAACTATGAAAGAGAAACTTAAAGGAGGGACAGCTGTCATAGGTAATTGCAACTGTAAAAGGTAGAAATGTTCTCCCTGACAAAACTACAAACTATTTGCACTGAGAATGTCTGTGGTTGGTTGTTTGCCACATTTCTGGTGTCATTCTTGTTTAATATTATTAATGTATAAGATAATAGTATATGTATAGTATAGTATACAAGGTGCTAATATAAGATTCATGGCCCAATAAAAAGTAAAATTTTAAATAAAATTATGGAAAGTTGTTCAAAAACAACATTAATCTTTCAATCTACTTCACTAAAACAATTGTTATTGTAACAGACGACAAATTTTTTAAACTAATTTTATTGGTATATAGTTAAAAACATATACATATATAAAGTAACACATATGCATACAGGCAATAATATAATGGCAGTGAACGAAGGTAATTACCTAATGATATTAACAATCTATTTAAAAAGGAAGACCAATAACAAATTCAATATTTTGATTTACCTTTAAATTCATGACTCGTTTATGAATTTTTGCAAATAATGAAAATTTTGCAAAAAAAGTATTCTGTATTTTAAGTTTTGCATATAATAAAAATTGCAAAATAAATATATTCTATATTTGTATACTATAAAATATCTTTTTCACGAGTAAAGATATATTCCTCATAATTGCCAGAGTTAACATAGGCTTACTGTACATTCTTTGCAAAGTGAAGTTATTCATTCCTTTAAATAACCATCATAAATTGTTCATAATTTTCACGCAACAGTTACATAGATTATTTATAAATTCAATAATGAATCATATATAAAAATATGAAAAATTCCAATTATCAATATTTTTATCTCGACAGCATAGATTATTTATAAATTCAATAACAAATCATATATAAAAATATTACAAATTCCAATTAGTATTATTTATACCTATTCGCAGCACCAATTCGAGTGTATATTTTCTTGTATAATATTTTACAATAGAAAAATAGTTTCAATCTTACTACATCTTTCACTCAACAGATACATATTTCAATTATTGTAAAAAAATATAATTTGCATATGTATAACGTTATAGAAACCAGTTTCCAAACAAAATTTACATTCCATTGTAAGCTGGGCCACCTCCACCTTCTGGAACAACCCAGTTGATATTTTGACTTGGATCCTTTATATCACATGTTTTACAATGAATGCAGTTTTGGGCATTAATTTGCAATCTCTCCCCAGATCCTGATTCAAGCGGTACGAATTCATAAACACCTGAAATAAATAACAGATAATTGAAATATATTTCTCACTTTTCCTTTTAGAAACATTTGTTTAGTTTTTTGAAGTTTTTCTGAATTTGTTTGTTTATTACAGATTTCTTTATAAAGAGGGCCTTACAGGTTCTCCTTTAATACATGTGTACCTATAATTGAACAAATTTGTCTCAATCTTTGTAAAAAGCATACAAACATTATGGAGAAGAAAGGGTCTGGATTTATATTAGCATCCTTGGAATTAATTTCTAAGAGAAATTGTACTTTGATGCGATTTGATGGTCCAGGAGTATTTTAAGCATCATAGACTATCATGGAATGACTTTCGATTATGCTACAATTACATTATTGAAATCAATTGTTCCTAAAATTTACTTTACCCAAATATATATGTTCCTTTTAATCTGATAATATTTATTCTAACTGACAATGCAAAGAACACTATTTTCCAACATTTTCTAGTATCAAATCAGATTAAAAGGAATTACATATTATTACATATTACAAACATTATCAGATTAACATGAAAATACATATTTGCGATCTGATAATATTTATTCTAACTGATAATGTAAGAAATACAATATTCCAACATCTTCTGACATCAATTTTGCTCAAAATGGCATTCCTAAAGAATCCTAACTTCTTCAATTCCTTTTTTTTAATTGTCTCAAGTACTTTGTTAATCTGAAATGGACAAGTATCGCACAAAGGATGCCTGTGTCTGTTGAGATAATGGGGGATGAAAGATTCTGCAGCGAGGTTGTTAAATTGGTGAGCTGAGATCGGTCGAGGGTAGTCTAGCCATGAGGGGTGTCAGGATGGTTCAAGTTCAAGGACACATCGGTCGATAAACCCAGACGAGATTCGTAGAGGGAGAGGAAAAGGAGGAAAAAATAGGAGGGGTGGAGATGGGAGCTGTGTGAGGGGGGATGTAGAGGCGAGGGTGGGCGGAGCAAGGGGAGATGGGGGGGGGGGGAGAACTCTTCTAATATAAATGTAGAAAAGCAAAGTTGCCCAAAACCCAAATGTCCTTAAATATAAAGAAGACTTTATGACTTATTTTATTTATTATTACAGTGTACAGGGACCTATTCTCTTAGAAATAGATAATAAGTCTATACTTTTGTATAAGCTTGTACAATATATATTATTTTAACTTTAATCTCTAATTTTTCTGTTAATTTTTTAACAGAATTGTGGTTCAGTTGGTAGAATCGCCCTATATATGATGCTCTTATGGCAATGGCTGCTGCAATAGGATTTTATTCCTCGCATGACTATTTGTTAATTCCCACCAGTCACTTTTAATCAGGCAACATTCATTGACAAAATGGATACGATACTATAAAAAGAGTTGAATTCTGCAAATATCTAGGTATTACAATTGACTTCCGTCTTAAATGGGACAAACACATTTAGTACTAGATAAATGAGACAAAATATTTAATATTTATATTCGCTAAATTGTCCAAAGTAAAGCCACAAAAAAGAATAATAACAGTCTATATGTAGACTGTTCAATGATACTTGGAACTACGGAATAACAGCTTGGGGTAGTCCATACAATAACATCCTAACTCTACTGCAAATTTTTCAAAATAAATTTCTTAAAATGGTAAGGAAGGAATCCAAAGATTTAAGTTCGTCATTATATAAGTTTAACGATTCCAATTTAGGGGAGAAGTCTGGTTTAGCAGGTCTAAAAAGTCGACTTTTATTTCTTTTTGCTTAAGAATCTTCCTAACCACGTGGAGAATGCTTTCACAAAGTTATAGCATCAAATTCAACCTTGAAATATATATTATAAATATAATATTCTCTTAGAAATCGATAATAAGTCTATACTTTTGTATAAGCTTGTACAATACATATTATTTTAACTTTAATCTCTAATTTTCCTGGTATAATATACATATATAAATATATAGGTAAAACTGAAAATGGACTAGCTGGTCCAGCACAGAAGCATCTGACAAAAAATATCAGAGGAAAACATTGTTTGGTTTTCAAAGAGGCATACTGTGATAGACAAAATAATTATTTCGAAGTCAATTTTTAAGGAGATTTCAAAGTCATGAATGTTTTTTTTAATGGAATGGTATACTTGCAATATTGTATTCTTGTAGCTGATCAAAAGGCAAATTTAAATATGTTAGGTATAAATATTAATTGCTATATTGTAGTCTTGTAGCTGATCAAAAGGCAAATTCAAACATGTATAATATGTTATCTAAGTATAAATATTAATTGCTTTATTGTTTAAGAAGATTTTGTTTCTAACTGTTTGGCCTACGACTAACTGTTAGTCATAGACTATCGAGTAGCGAAGTCCAACATGTTATGATCTGTGTTAAGTCTGAGCTTGAACACATTTTTCTTGACAAGATGTTAATAGGTCAAACTCATGCGCAACTATTTAAATAATCAATTGCATAAGTCGTTATAAGAAATTACGTACTATACGCATGGATGAGTCTTGCAGATTATTGTCTAGCCCTTTTTGTTCCACAAATACAAAGTGGCTAAAATTCTATCTTTTAATCCATTTAAAAACACTTGGATACATAAACATTATACAAATTACTCTTTATTAACACCAGAAATAGTGTTTCATTGAAATCGTAGAATTAAATGAAGGAAATTTATTACTCACCGGCAGGACAGAATCGACCTTCCGGACCAGCAAATTCCTTTAAATTTCTTGTAACTGGGATTGTATCGTCAGCTAATGTAAGATGTGGAGGCTGATCTGCTTCGTGATTTGTCCCTGTGAGAGCCACAGAGGATAACAAATCAAAGGACACTTCGTTATCAGGTTTTGGATACTCTATCGGTGTGCATTCAGATGCCTGTTTTAATCTTTTGTAATCTGGACCTGAAAACATTATTTGTAATAAGAAACAGAGTTTCATTTTTCACTTAATGTTTTTAAACGATAACTTACCACCATGAGATAAAGTCCAAGGCTCCCTTCCCCCAAGTAACATAGAAAAACCAGAATACAGCAATCCTCCGTAAACACCAAGGCTCGTATGGAAGCTTGGCCTCATGTTTCTCACAGCTTTCAATTCCTTATAAATCCAACTATTCTTTACTTTATCTGTATAAGTCTTTGGTTCTATGCCTTTCGTAGACGAAGGATTAGTCTCTGAGTCAATTATGGCCTCAACAGCACTCTCCGCTGCAAGCATGCCACTCTTCATAGCATTGTGCGTTCCTTTAATTTTGGGAACGTTGAGAAACCCTGCTGTGCAACCGATAAGACATCCACCAGGAAATTGAAGTTTAGGAATGGATTGAAAGCCCCCTTCTACTAAAGCTCTTGCGCCATACGCTACTCTAAAATATCAATTCAGAATTTAAAACGAAAACATAGAAAGAGATAGAAAAAATTAATAATTTACCTGCTTCCTCCTTCAAGAACAGGCCTAATACTGGGATGTTGTTTGAATCTTTGAAACTCCTTAAATGGGTGTAAGTAAGGATTAGAATAATCCAATCCAATAACAAAACCTATGGCGATAAGTGGTGTGTCTTCATTGAGATGATACAAGAAAGAACCACCGTAAGTGTTCTTATTCAATGGCCAACCAATTGTATGCTCAACCGTGCCAGGCATGTGCTTCTTCGGATCAATTTCCCAGATCTAATACCAAAAGAATCTATTAAGAATCCATTAACCAAAGGATACAACTTGAATTACTCGTATCGGTCACCTCCTTTAATCCTATGCCATAAGTCTGGGGTTCGCAGTCCTTTCGAAGGTCTAGTTTCTTCGAAATCTGTTTCGTGAGATGTCCATGACAACCTTCAGCAAAGATTGTGCACTTTGCATGGAGTTCCATTCCTCGTTCAAAGTTGTCCTTCGGAGAACCATCCTTGGCGATGCCAACATCATTCGTGGCTATTCCTTTCACGGAACCATCTTCGTGGTAGAGAACTTCAGCTGCAGCGTATCCAGGATACAGCTCAACCCCTGCTGCTTCGGCTTGCTCTCCAAGCCAAGCTACAACATGGCCCAATCTGTAGAAAATAATAACTAGAAAAGAGATATCCTTAGAGATTTATCGATACAATTAACTTTGCCATCATTGCAATTTATTTACCTGACTACATAGTTTCCATGATTGTACATCGGCATTCCTTTCATAATTGGTATCGTTATCCTGCCCTTTTCAGTGAGAAATGCAAATTTGTCTTTGGTAACAGGAGTTTTTAGTGGTGCACCCAGTTCCTTCCAATTTGGGAACAGTTCGTTTAGAGCAATTGGATCTATACAAGCTCCGCTGAGGATGTGACCTCCCATTGTCGAAGCCTTCTCAACAAGTGTAACTCGAAGCTCTTTTCCATAGGTCTCTGCTAGCTTTCGTGCTTGAATCGCTGCTGATAGTCCAGCTGGACCACCTCCAACGATCAAGATGTCTGTTTCATCTACATATCGTTCCATGTTTATATCTGTAGGACATGTTCAACAGTCTATATGAATGAAAACAATGAGGATTTCTTATTTTGATTTGTTTTAATATTGGGTTGTCCAGAGAAGGGAAATTATTAAGAGGAATTGCAAAATCTTTCTCAATCATTTATGCAATTCAAAGATTCCATTGTTCTAGAATTACTCAGACTTTCGACATCAAAACTTTTCGACGTGACTTTTTATATCGATCAACGAATTATCTCAATTAGATCTAGGTATGTTTACATCCATATTTATATGAAACTGACAAAAATTAATTCATAGACATATTCTAATATATTAACAGACATTCCAATACTAACTATTAAAAATGAGGACAGTCTTTCCTGGCAACTCAATACTTATAAATTAATTTCACCGAAAAATACCTTTCCATCTCGAATCTGTTTCTCTGGGTACAACCGTGTAATGCGTTGTAATTTTTGGAAATTTTTCTTGCGAATAGGCTCTTTGGAAAATCCATTGCCATCTCTGTACTGCCAAAAGATGTAAATGTGGTTAAAATACAAACAATTAAATTACTTTTCCAAGATATTTTCTTAATCGATGTATATGTTTCTATAAATAAACAGAAATAATTAAATTAATTATTCATAGTTTTGGAATATTTACATACTTAGATGTTATGAATATAAAATCCTATATAATGAATTTAATATGATGAATTTAAAATGTAAATATGTTGATTATCTTATATGTAACACAGGTGAACTTTGCTCTCACAACATATTTATATATACATATACACACATCTTATGCATGAAAAATATAACTTTGTTTTGAGGGTAGAAGGTTCAGTTATGATGTAACATTTCTCAAATAACATTTATGCTAATACAAGTAATTTTCATATATGTGTATTTATACATATACAGCCTCTACCAAAAGTTTCCACACTGTGATTTTATCATATTATTCAGATAAAGTTTACTTGCTAAAAAAAAAGGACTAGACTGATCTTCCAAGAAGTGGTCGACCATGTAAAACCTCCATTAGGATCAATTGCATCATCAAAATCCTTTCTAGCTTCTGAAAGTGATGTTAATGTTAGTAGTAGAATGGTAGTAGGAACACTGAATGATATTGGACTTTTTGAATGCATTGGAGTCATAAAACCAAGCATCACTAAAAATAACAGGAGATATTGTTTAACATTTGTAGTACAATACAGACATTGAACAGTTAATGATTGATCAAAGATACTATCTCCCAATTAACGTGGATTTGAATTACTTTCCAAGGCCAACTGGAAAAAGAAAGAATTGACCTTTATCAGTTCTAAACCTAACAGTCAACGAATAGTTTTGCTTTGCTTCTCAACAATTTATTTAGCATAATAACGATAACATTGCAAGTGTTTATCATGTTCGTAATTCTATACTGAAATTATTATTTGTATTTAGACACAATTATTGACAAGGTATGTTGCATTCAACATTTTTTTTGATCGACTCGATCTTTGGTGACTTCTCAAAGCTAAAAGATTTTTTTTTGATAGCTTCATTCTCTCACGAGATAGTGAACAATTCCTTTTTAAACAAAACTCCCTATATAAATATATCATGAGAGCAAAGTCCACCTGTGTTATATATATTATGAGATAATGCAACATCTTTACGTTTTAAATTCATTATAGAACTACATTCATAAAATCTAAACATACAAATATCCCAAAAGAATAATAATTCATTAAACTATTTATGTTTATTTATAGAAACATAAATCTATTAAGCAAATACCTTGAAAAAGTAGCTTAAATTTTCGAATCAAGTATATACATCTCAGATAACGTTTACAAAATTGAATAACAAAACAATTTAATCCAATAGTAGTTAAATACAAAGTACATAAATGAATGTAAAATGTTATGTGTATAAGTAACATGACCATTAATTAATTAAAAAAAAAAATTTGATATCGTCTTCATTTCAATAATACACGAATGACCTATAATTAAATATGTTAAACAGTTTGCGATGATATTGTTAATTTTAAAAATTCTATATCAATATAATAAGAAATTTCAAATTATGTTGAGTACTTTAAGTGTTATCAACGATCTTACGACTATTCGATGTGTAAAATATCGCTCGAACCATAACTTTACGTCACTTCACGTCAACAATGAACCACTGTGAACCACACAGTAGTTTTACAGTAGCGAAACTTTTGTTGGAATCTTTGACGTTCCAGTCTTTGTATTTTCAGGTTAGAGTCAGGTCCAAGCCAATCAAGTGGCTTCCAATAGCGCCCCGTCCCTAACATGTATCTAAAATAAAGTAATTTACTGTAATTCTGTCAATTGAAATTGTCATTGAGCACAAATTTACTAAGAAATTAACAAATAGCTCCATCATTTCATTAAACCAGACTTTGGCTTAAAACGTGAGAGTTTTTACAAAAATGTTGTAACTGTGGTCTTGTAGTTTGTATGTACTGTACTGTTCAGTGCTATCTCAGACCAGTGCAGTAACAGTAAAATTGGCGCCCTTAGCCGCCTCAATGAAAAATTGAATTATAAATGAAAATTGGAAATACTTCTTAGCATGTAATAATATTAATTGTGTGGATAAATTATAACATAGGGATAGGGGTTGAAATAATTTTACAGACAAAAGACATTTTTTATAACTAAAAAAATTGTTTCCCTGGTTTTGGCTTCAACCGTTGCTTTGGGATCATATACTATTTCTTATAGCTACAGAACTGAGCGCTCAGCTTTCTTCGACGCGCATGTGCAAGACCAGTGATAAGACTAGGACTTCATACTAGACTACTGATAAAAATACAAGTTTCCATTTCTTACAAATCTGAATTATATTTTTCATAAAACACATTTTTGTATGATTATCGCAATACAAAGATTTGAAACATATAAACATTAATACTGAAAGTAAACGTAACTGTAGAAACATTTTTTCCATAGGTACAATGTTCACAGTTTGAAAAGAATGTGTAGACATATATTATTTTCGTATATTTATAAATATTATAAATAGACTGCGGATATTTACGCAAAATAAAATCTTTGCAAACGTACCTACAAGAATTGAACCTAAATAGGAATTTATTTTACTCTACAAATATTATAATATGAACTTTACTTTCAATATATATTTTATATTGTTGTTTACTGTGTGCATTTTGTAGTTTCTTGTACGTTCAAATTTCCTACAAATGCATACAAATCCGCAATCTAATTATAAGAATAAAAAATTATATTTTGATTAAATAATTATGCGTCGACTTCGTTTGTAGATAGACATTCAAAGCTCGTCTTTCTTAGAATTACTTCCTATATCTTTCACACTTCCAATAAAAAGTGGTATGTTGTGTGGTTTATATTCGATTAGAAACATAAAAGGTCGATTGACCATAAACTGTTCTGGCATGTCGATCATCCGTCTAAGTCTCATTTGCACCGCTGAAATGAAATATACAAGTAATACACACTGAACATTTTTTGCTTTCACTAACAGTAAACGCACCTGTTGCAGCTGCAGCTTCTGTACCTTCTTCGTTAACTGTTATCACTGCTTTATGCAAAACCTTGCCGACCTTTAATGGTATGCTTGAAATACTGCTGAAATTTGCATTGTCTTCGAAAATGCGGTTCAAGCCAAGCTATAATGGATAATTAATTAATGTATAATTCAAAGATGATTTTCTTAAAGATTCAATACGTCTGATAAATTTTGAATACCTTCCGTAAAGTATTCTCTAAGTCTACCATGAATTCTATCTTGAATCTTGGAAGATACAATTCGACATCAGTGTTCGATTTATTTGCGTTTGCAATTACTTCCCATGAGAAATTATTCTCTACATTTGCAAGTCCATCTATCTCGTTTGGTAATATTATCGTCATTACAATATCTTCATTCTGTAAAATATATTAGGTTATTGAGTATATGTATACGAAGTTTGATAAAAACAGATTTATATGCGTAAGCGTACCATATATGGAATTTCTATAAACTTTGAGTCCAACGTTTGTATTTCACCATAATTATACTTAGATTTAATAAACATTGTCGGCACAAATCTTTTATCAGTTTTGGTCACATGGAATGTTTTGCTTTGCGTGTTCTTCACGTCAAATTTGTGCAACCAATAACCATTAAAATAAATTGCATTTACCAGTACCAACTTCATATATTCGTCAAAATCATCTATGTAAAATATCATTATTATTATTATTACAGTTGTTATAATTCTCTCTTCTCTTCTCATATGTTATAAAAATAATTCACCTGAAGACACAAGGTTATATATTTTATTATTTGTTGCTTTTTCAACCCATGCATTGATTTTCTCCGCTGCATCTATATTATGTTTGAAATCCAATTTCGAAATTGAAGATTTATAAACATCTGAACCTACCGCCAAAAATTCTGCTAGCAATTCAAATCCATCCTGAATGTACATCGCATTTGCTATGTACAATTCTACATTTTTCAGCTCCTTGTAAATATACGAATCACTTGTAATTTTAATTTAACTTTGGTTTTAATCTACTGTCGGTAATCTTACTTTTAAATTAGCAAGTAAAGATGAATATTCTTCGCTTATAGAATCTCTGCTGCTATGAAAAAGCCCATGAGATAATTCATCCAAAGTTTCAGACTTCGCTCCATGCGAAAGCAGAGACAATATCATGTGGACACTTAATGGCGAAGTAACAATATTTCCTTCGCTGGTAACGCATAATTCCTGAAACAGGTTGAATAAGTTGATATTAGGCTTGATATTAGCCTAATCAAGTATGTTTTGCCATCATTGCAGATGGTTTCTTCAGAGATCCAAGAATGCACTGATATTAATGTGTCGTTTAGAACCCATAGGAACTAATTGTATGGCTGATGAAGCCTCGGATAGTATTAAACAAAAAGCATCATGCTGTGAAAGCTACAAATGTCTTAGAAGGTGAATAGTTTATCTTGTAGTGAATGCAATATTGTTTTTTTTTATATTTAGCTATTTATGATCCCACTAATCATGTATAGGATTATTAGTGAATCTAGAATATTATATTCATTTGCTTTCTACGATTAGTTTACTATAAATAATATTTGTTCATTAGAATTCCTGATCTAGATATGTATGATTTATAAGAAACATTTACTCACTTTATGAAAAGTTTGTGTAAATCTGCTGCAAGCGGCAGACAAATCTTTGTAAACATTTTTGCTGTTTGAAGCCATATTAATGGACTGCACTGATGCAAGCACAACAAACGTATTTAAAACTGTAATATAAAATAGGAATTTATACATTCAAATAACACAGAGATTGAAAATCATATTATAACATAAATGTTTCATATCATATGACAAATTATCACCTGTCAACGATGCAAAGTGCATTGTTATTTCCATAAACTATAAATACTCTGAACAAACTACTAACAGTAACTAGTAATTACTGTTACAAGTATAGTTACTAATTATTCTTATTTCGATTATTATACTTTTATTATTAAGCTAAATGAAAACATTAGAATATCTCTGCGCAGCATTTTATGTTTGCATTCACTGAGCAATGTATGAGTTTTCTAAAATGCTACGTCGGAATCATCTGTATACATTTAGGTATTTTGTCATGTGTATATGTATTAGTTTTTCAAGTGACACTTGCGGAAACAGGTTAGGTTCGACTGTCAAAAAATAAAAAATGGACCACTTACGTGTCAAAAATAAATTAATCATCAAAATGTAAAATAAAAGCGCAGAATGTCGTTTAACTTTAAATTTACATTTAATAAATTCGTTGCTTCACTTTTTAGGGTTGGAATTTTGGCGACTTTTCTATGAGATTTCACGAGTATGACATTCGCACTGATTCACACCCAAAGGAACATGTTTACATGTTTACATTATCAAGAAAATGGGAATTACGACAATTGATTGTAAAATATCAAACTACATATTCAAAGACTAATATTCAATCAGTAATTAATATTTAAATACATAAAATCTTTATTAATTAATTGGAATTATATTATAGTACGTGTTACATATAATTTTAATTCATAAGGATTTAAATATAATTCAATAAATTTTTCGCCTAATATTCAACCAATATTATATTTAAATAAATATTATATTAAAAATTTTTTATATTAAAGTGCTAATATTAGTTTATTATTTATTGCATTTGTATTTTAGTATACATCATTTCTTCATATATATTCATATTTTTTACTCTTTTCTGCATATTCATATAATACCACATTGTAATTATCATAATTCAGCTTCTAATTGTTAATTTGTAAACTACTAATTGGCCGATTTTAAATTTTTTAAAAATCGAAAAATGTGGCGTTATCTCTCGGTGGACTGACCAAGTTTGTCGTGAAATAGTTTCCGCATTGCGCCACTAGATGGCGCCACCAAAATGAAAATTCAAAACATAAATTCTTTACTTTTCTCTGCATATAAATGTAATTTTACATCAGAATTATCGTAATTCAACATCCAATTGTCGACTAGTAAACTACTAATTGTCTGATATTGAATTTTTAGAAAAATCGAAAAGTGTGGCGCCATCTAGCGGCGCAAGATTGGAACTATTTCACGACAAACTTAGGCGCTTCGCCGAGAGATGGCGCCACATGTTTTTGTCTTTTTTTTTAAACTTAATATCAGTCAATTATTAGTGTACAAATAAACAATCAGAAGTTGAATTATGATAATTACGATAATTTTAGAGGTTTGATATCTACCTTCGGGTAGTAATCGATAATTTTTAAATCACTTCTCAATTGATTAATGAGATAACCATGATAAAAATACTCATTAATCGATCAATTGTTAATTATAAATTAGATCAGTAATTATAAACTACACTTGCAGTTTGTAATTAGACATTCATAATTATTAGATTGCAGATGTCTATGCGAACACACACTTTCTATGCACTTATGAATACATGTATGTATTCATAATGTATTATCATTATCATCTTAACTCATCAATCGTTACGACCATAATCACAGCCATTGACATCTGTTTGCACATCGCATATGTTATGCATATATGTTTATTATGTGTTTATTATATCAGTATACTCTATGCATCACTTGCTTGTATATTTTGCATATTTTTCCTGCACCCTAGTAATCGTTCACTGAAAGGTTGCTCCAGTCTTTACTAGATTCAGATATACAAGATCGCCAAACATAAATTAAACGAACGTATATGTAACCAAAAATTGCGTTTCCTTACCTCAATCACGTATTGGGTAACTATAGCGATCAGCCCGATGATTGAGTGGGCCTGTGTCGATAAGATAGAGCTATTCTGCTGGTAAGGGTATGTAAGGTAGAGTACTGTGTCGACAAGGTAGAGCACTCTGGTGCTAAGAGTCTATAGGGTAAAATATGCTAGTAGCTTTGGACTGATTGAAATGGAATACCCTGTATACAGGGTGTCCCAAAAATGTTGGAGTTCCTTGAAAAGGATGGTTCGGGAGGTGATTTGAAATAACTTTTTCCTTTGCGAAAATGTCGGATGGAGCTTCGTTAAGTAGATATTAACAAAAAAACCCGATCAATCAGAGCGCGCGCATACCGTTGAGCGGCCGCGGTAGCGAAGACTACGAGCTAGGCGGCCGCGTCAATGTCCTTCGTGCGCGTCGAGTCACTTTATTCGGGTATTAGCGCAGCCGCCTAGCGTGTAGCCTTCGCTAGTACGGCCGCTCCAACGGTATGTGCGCGCTCTGATTGATCAAGGTTTTTTGTTAATATCTGCTTAACGAAGCCTCGAACAACATTTTCGCAAAGCAAAAAGTTCTTTCAAATCACCTCCCGAACCACCTCTTTCAAGGAACTTCAACATTTTTGGGACACCCTGTATTTGGCGACAGGAATTCACGTCAGTTGATCAAGAACACTATTCAATCGATAATTACTTTCAAACATAGTGATCGATTGTCAGGCCTATCTGTCCCTACAGAAGCATACAGTTATATATACAAACATATATATAACTTGTATACTTGTATAAGTGTGTGAATGTGTAGCTATGTTACAGAGTATAAGAGTTTCTGCTAAAAGATAATAGTTGTATAATCTGCTACAAATTTTGTGACGTGAAAATTCCAAAGTTTCATCTCTGTAAAAGTACTCTGCGCTCCTATAGTGTTCTCCTGTTTTCTGAATCCTCTCACTCCTACTCTTCATTACTTCTCTCTCTCTCTCTCTCTCTCTCTCTCTCTCTCTCTCTCTCTCTCT